CTCATTCTTTCTGGGAGGATGCTGCAGCAGAACATAAAATACAAGTAAATGACTCAGATTAACTAGCCAGAATGATACCAGTTAAATCCCAGGGGCCCCAGGGGCCATACAGTGGATATCTAAGGAGGAAGTGATGTTCTCACAGCACCTGGCAAAGCCTAGAGGTCCCGGGAACTGCCTAGAGGTCACCTATCCTCTCTGTGGGCTGCTGGGAGGTGCGGTGCATCTGCCCAGGATCATCGCAGCAGCGCCCTCACTGTTCTTTGCAGCATTAATTTGCTGTGAAGAGGCCCTGAAACACTCCCCCTTTGAGAGTACCTTCTTTCCCCTGCCTCTCCAGGCTCTCCCTTTCCCTAGGCTGCAAAATAAAAATAATTTATTATCCCCTAACAACTACTGAAACTATTATGCCCTTCAAACCTCTTTAAAAAGTAGTCACCATCCATACATTGTATTTTTCCACCAGCCATGTCTCAACCTTCTACAACCCAGTAAAGACCATATTCGTATTTTTAAATCTCTGAAATTAGGAATAAATTTTACGTGCAATGACATCCTTAAAATTCTAAAATTGACAATTATTTTTTTGTTTCCAAGTAGCCTATAAATTAATGACGCATCTTTGAATTCATGCCATCCTAAATTCTATGAACTATGGTATGTGTAGTGCTCCGTGGAAAGATTCTAGATTAGAACCTTCCCAAGGGCAGGAAAGAGAAACTTTCTGTTTCTTATACATCTCATACCCTCACCTCCCACACTCAGTGCTTAGCCCAGCAGTGCTACATGTATTAGCACATTACATCTGAGATGATGAAGTGTCTACTGACTGTAAGTTCTCTTACACTGTGAGAAAGGAACAGAATTGTAAAACAAAGTCCAGTCAATCAAAGAGATATTCCCAGTGATCTTTTCTATCATCAAAAATTTAACTGAACTCCAAAACTCCTGAACCATAATTATTTATAAATGTTTTATTTATAAAACTACTTAATCAACAATGTAATTCATACAGATACAAAAAATCATTCACAATACCTAAGGATATTTTGTTATCAATGTTGTGCAGTTAAAAGGTATTCCTGGTGTTCAGAACATCATTTTATAGCTTTAGAAAACAAACTATTAGCTGGTATAGCAAACCAGCACCAAGGAAATATTTTGACTTGCCTTATAGTATCTATGAATTACTTGGCTTAGAATTTTGTTTTTATCTAGTCAGACCAAGTAGGTACCTTATGAAGAAAAATGAATTGTTTTCATATGTGACTTAGAATGTGGTCAGAATAGGCTGGGTGCCATGCACCATTAGCTGTGGGGCAGCACCGGTCATGAATGACTCATGTCCATTCTTATTCATCAACATCCCTGCCAAACTGATTGATAATAACTTTGGTATCTTCCCCAGTCACCTAATTATGATTCCCAATTCTTTTACATCTATCAAAAGGACATCATCTCAAGAAAGTAATAGGAATTTTATTCAAAACCTTTACTGAGGATGTTCTGTAGATAGTGGAATTCATCTCTAAGTGCATCAGCTATACTTACATGTTGCTGCAAACTGAGGGAAGATAATCAGAGAGGGGACCAGCAGTAAGATCATCTTCCATCAAAGGAATATCCTAGCCCTAGCTTGTTTGGTTCAGTGGATAGAGCTTCGGCCTGCAGACCAAAGGGTCTCAGATTCAATTCCCAGTAGAGGGCACCTACTTCAGCTGTAGGTTTGGTCCCCCTACTGGTTGGGGTGCATGTGGGAGGCAACCAATCCATGTTTTTCTCTCACATAGATGTTTCTCTCTCTCCCCTTCCACTCTCTTTAAAAATTAATGGAAAATTATCCTCAGGTGAGGATTAACAACAACAAAAAAGGAATATCCTACTCACTGCTCACACTACCTAGAAGCAGCCAGGAAGAATAGAAACATTTATGACAAGGATGAACCAACCACCATTACCTTCAAATTATGTTAAGCATCATATCTTCGTGTATCCTGATTCAATATGATTTTTCTGTGTGAGCCCAGGGCTGCAGTTTATTAAAAATTTAAACTTGCCCCTGCAAACCTTACAGGAATCCAAACTGAGATAGCCAGAGATTTTTGGCCAACTCATTATTATTTCTTGAGCACAGGATGTTTACCACACTCCAAGCTGATTTGCATTCTGCACGGGTTATAGGAGTAGATCTGCCAAGGGGTTTGGAAACTCTAGGACAGATAGGCCCCTCTCTTGGTTAAGTTATAGCTCCACACCTACAGATTTGCCCAGCCAGGGCCTCCAAATATTTTGCAATGAGCATTTTGAAACACATGGATTATGTTCTGACTTCCAGTCAGTTCAGCAAAATGCTTCGGCTGGAGAATTGCAAAAGTTCGTGATTTGTCACCAAGGAATGAAATCTGACGCAGTAGAGCAAACTGCAGACATTTAATACCAGATGTCAATGTAAAAATTGGAAAATTGTGGCCTCGCGTCATTATCTGACTCCTGCCCCGCAGAAATCCACCCCAATCCAGAAGGCATCATAATTTCTGCCTTCTTCCACTATTCAACTAGGGAGGAAATCGTGCTTATTTGCATCGAGAGAGAAAGAGAACACCCGAAACACACATTTCAAAACACCGACGTTTGTTTGTACTCCTTCCCTGAATCTGTACACGTGAGGAATCGAATGACTGCTTTAGAAAGAGGGATGGACTGTTCAGGAATCTCGTGTCTGTAAGGAGAGAGAGCTGGGTGTGGAATGAGGAGTTGTTGGTAAGAAGTTCTGGATTAGGTGTCAGATCAGAGCAACTTTTTTACTTTCTGGAAATATAGGGCTAAGCACTTCACCTTCTCTGCAGCTCATTTCCTCTTCCTAGAAATGGGTTCAACATGAACGTTCTGACCACTACACAGGATTGTGGTGAGGCTCAAAGAACACTGTGTAAATACATAAAGAAACTGAAAAATTATGTACAACTATGAAGGAAACCACTCAAGCTTTGTTGTTTCAACCTGAATCCTGAGGAAGCTGAGGCTTAAAGAAACTCCTCTAAAAGCCTCTTCAATAAATGGTGCTGGGAAAATTGGAAAGCCACATACAAAAGAGTGAAGCTAGACTGCTATTGGATACTATACACAAAGTTACCTCAAAAGTGGATTAAAGACTTAAATATAAGACCAGACCTGAAACAATTAAATACATAGAAAAAAATAGGTACCAAACTTATGGTCCTTGGTGTCAGAGAGGCTTTTGTAAACTTGATCCCAAAAGCAAGGGAAGTAAAAGCAAAAAAAATAAATGAATGGGACTGCATCAAACTAAAAAGCTACTGCCAGAAAAAGAAACCGTCAACCAAACAAAAAGGCAGCCAACCAAGTGGGAGAAAATATTTGCAAAGAATACCAGAAATAAGGGGCTAGTATCCAAAATATATAAAGAACACATACAACTCAACAACAAGAAGAAAACAATCTAATTTAAAAATGGGTAGATGATCTGAAAAGATACTTTTCCCAAGAAGATATACAAATGGTCAACAGATGTATGAAAAGATACTCAATTTCACTAGCCATCAGGGAAATTTAAGTCAAAGCTACAATGAGTTATCATCTCACACCTGTTAATATGGCTACTATTAAAAAAACAAGAAATAACAAGTCTTGGTGAGAATATGGAGAGAAAGGAACCCTCATACACTGCTGGAGGGAATTTAAATTGGTACAGCCACTGTGGAATGCAGGGTCCTCAAAAAATTAAGAATAGAGCTGCCATATGAAAATCTGGAAACATTTATTTGTAAAGATATATGTACCTCTATGTTCACTGCAGCATTATTCACAGTAGCCAAGAGATGGAGACAACCAAATTATCCTTCGATGGATGATTGGATAAAGAAGATGTGGTACATATACACAAAGGAATTCGACTCAGCCATAATAAAGGAGGAAATACTGTAATTTGCAACAATATGGAGGGATCTTGAGAGAAGCAGCTAAGCAAAATAAGTCACACGGAAAAGCATAAGAACATATGATTTCACTTACATGTCGGATATAAAACAGAAAGCAACAAACAAAAACCTACTCATAGGCACAGGTAACAGTTATCAGAGGAGAAGGGGAGAATGAAGACGGTAAATATATGGTGATAAAAGGAAACTAGACTGGGTAGTGAGCACACAGAACAATATATAAATGATGTATTATAGAATTGTACATGACACTTATGTAATGTTATTAACCAATGTCAACAAATTAATTTTTTAAAAAATATTCCTCTAAGTCCAGGGATGAGGTGGAAAGGGCTTTAAAATGACCCTCTTCTTACCAGACAGAAGTATCTTACCTTTGTTTCTATATACATTTGATATGTAAAGCAGCAGAGAGGAAAGGAGAGAGTGTGATATAAGATCTTACTAAATTGCAAGAAATTGAGTTTATTCAACTGACCCAGGCAAAAGCACTACCATAGGGTTTAGCATCTCTGTGGAGAGCTAAGCAATAGCAGGGCTGTTCTAGAGAAATACAAACCAGTGCAAGAGTCAAGTTCTGTCCTCAAGGGAGAATTCAGTTCTCTCTTCTCTCTCTCTCTCTCTCTCTCTCTCCCCCCCTCTCAAATCAACAACAATTACAATGTGAAACACTAGCAAGAAAAGCTCACAGAATGGGCAAATGAGAAAGGGTCTTTGAGACCTTACTGCCTGATTTTCCTGTTGATGGCTGGGTGGCTAAGGCCGGGGGAAGTTAGTGGCATGACCCACCCACCACAAATCAGCAGCATCATGCAATGAGAAGCCAGAGAGAGCCTGGCCCCCTTTCTAATAAAATGCTCTTGATCTCACATTAACTGTGAATGAGGGTTTGTATTCACTTCTCAAATACAATCTTTGAGGAATTAAATTTATTTTTCAGAGATATATAACTGGAAACTCATCTCCTTTTCTCCTCTTTTCTCTCCATTGCTTTTTTCCTCTCTTGCTTTCTTCATCTCTCTTTCTTTCTTTCCTTCACAGGTATGTATACCTGGAGGCAGATGAGAGAGATGAAGATTGCAGATGTAACTCAAAGGAATACAATGAGCAATTCTATATAATAAAAGCCTAATATGCTAAATGTCTGGTTGTCCATTCAACCAATCAAAGTGTAATATACTAATGATATGCTAAGGCTGCTCAACCACTCACTATGTTGTGCACTGACCATCAAGGGGCAGACAGTCAACCAGCCAACCAGTCGCTATGATGTGCAATGCCCACCAGGGGACAGACGCTCCAACAGGTAGGTTAGCTTGCTGTTGGGGTCCAGACTATCGGGACTGAGCGAGATGGGCCGGATACACCCTGGAGCCCTTCTATGGTCCGACTGAGCGAGATGGGCCGGATACACCCTGGAGCGAGAGGTTCCCCTGCTGGGCAACCTCCTGTGTCCCTCCCCAACCCTGATCGTACTCCACTGGGGTCCCTTGGCTTGGCCTGCGCCCTCTTACAATCTGGGCTGAAGGACACCCCCCTTCCCCGCAAGTGCATGAATTTTATGGGCCTCTAGTTGCCTATAAAAGCTCAAAACTTGAACTAAGGTTTTAAAAACTCAAGGCTACCAACATCAGTCCTGAATCTAGAAAATACATTTTCTTTCCAAATAATCTGATAATGTTTATGTAAAATTAAAATTTTATTATTCCCCAGTGTACTGCTATCACCAGTCACTCTTCAGACTCTTTTTGTTCAGGTTCAAAATAATCTCTGGCACTTGTAATCAAATGATCTCGCAATGGGTGTGTGAGCTAATTTGAATCTCATGGGGCCAAAGTAAGCTGATAATGTGTTTCTCTCACAATCATCCACATTATCTGTTTATAAACAGCCTTATTTAATTTGAACTGAATTTGCAAACTTGGAACATTCCTGACTTTTCCCGTCCCTTATACACAGGTCCAATTGGTTTGTTTTATTCTTGACTCCAATCCTAAGAATGATGTACATTTTCCCCAGGCATGTAAAGGAGAAAGGAAAAAAAATCAGCTGGCCAATGTGACAAAAATTCTTTGAGTTCCCAATAAAGAAGTGGCAAAACATAAAACACCAATATTGCCAAAATATTTACTGAAAGTTTTCAAATCTTTCAAAAATGTTATAAAAAGTGAGCAAACACATTAGACATTGAAAACTAGTATCTTGGTGAGTCTACACAGGCATGTAGGGGCAAAGGGAACATATATGAGCATTTACTATGATTAGGTTCTTTGACACATATCTTATTTGATCCCATTCAAAGAAATTTATCCCAGACTTGGAAATTAAGGCCAAAAAAACAAACAAAGTAAAACAAAAAAACAGGATTGTGTGACCTACTAATATTATGCTAGCCCATTGTTCATCAAGCCCATCCAAGGACCATTTGACTCATTTGGGAAATAGAAGTTTGACTAATAATTTAATAGGAACCAGATCAAGAACCCTGTAAAGTTGGATGTTGACTTGTAAAAAAATTGATAAGGCATGGGGATGACTTGTTTTTGCTTTCTGGTAGAGAAATTCACCTCCATGGTCATAGTTTTATTTCCCTGTAGGACACTGACCCATTTTATATCTTACTTTGCAAATCTCATTTCAAGGCCTTTCACAGTGATTAGCTAAATTCTACTTCTTCACATCCTTTTCAATTGCTCTATTATTCTGATGGTGAATTAAATGGGCCTAACCTCATGATCTATTCCTCTGAGAATTATGTTTTTAATGATTTGAGAATTTGTGCTTTGACAATCCTCAAACAACCACATGAGGTAGGTAGCATATCTTCATTTTGCAGAGGAGGAAGCCGAGTCTCAGAGAGGCACTTCACCTGCCGAGAGTTATAGAGGTAAGAAGCAACAGAGCTGGACTTTAAACACAAATCTGCTTGAATTCTTTTATGGAAACTACATTGGTGATTCACATTTGGACTAGAGCATCTCCAAAAAAAAATCAGCCTCATCTACATATGTTTATTTTGGAATTATAAGCATTATAGCTAAAAACCAAAAGCAACTCACTCTGAATGACTTAAGCCTGGGTATTTAATTGTAATTGAAAAGAATGTTGATTAATTTGGTTTCAAATGGAACTTTTTAAAATAAGAAATGTTGAAAGTATTTGCCCATATGCTGTATGGAATGCTATCATTAAAGTTGGAAATTTCAATGCTTTGCTGGTTCCATTGATGGTTCAGGATAACACAGGGCAAGCTCCTACCAAGATTGTTATAGAAGTCATTGAAAAGTATTTAGAACACTTATTAGAGAGCCTCTCTTTGCCATTTCATGAACAGGTCCATGTAAGTTTTTTGAATAAATTTGACCAACTTACCAATTTATCCCCCAGCTAAAATGCTCAAGCTGTACCATCTCTAGACTAGCATAAAAATGAGGAACACCGATGTGTTTTTCTATTCTTCAGGTATGAAGGTGATTTTTGTTCTGGCTGAACCCACAGATAGATATTAAGACTAGGAAGATATCTTAATCTGAAAGCATCTTAGTATAATTTTAAATATTAAAAGCATATCTTGGGAAAGGCTGATCTTACATATACGTGTTTATCTGTAAACAAGCATGCTTTCTCAGCTGGGGTATATACCTTTTGAATGCACCCTTTTATCCACCTGAAGATGCATTCAATGTATATGCAGATTTACAAGTTTTCTCAATACATAAAATTCTAAAGTTCAGGTCAACCGGTGTCTAAATTGATAAAACCCTGTGCTTATATTGTGAGGGTTTTGTCTGCCAAATCGCAAATTAGATGGTGACCATCTGACTTGGTTTCTGGTAGAGTACACCCCTACTTGATAGGCACCAGGCAGCTGTCTGCCACAGATTTAAATTAAGTGAGGCAATCTGCCCCACTCCTAGCCCCAATCCCAAGCTCCGGAGCCAGCTGAATTCCAGCTCCAGCTGAAGTGAAAAGATAACTATGTGGTTCAAATTCATCTTGACTCACAGTTTCACTGTTTTATCCTGGTTAAAGCTGCTCACTGCGTCTGTGGTTTTCTTACATAAATTTTCAATCCAACTAGTGCTATTACTCAGTGTCTTTTCCAACCCCGATGTTGGGGGTGGATTTTTAGCCCGCATATTTTTTCCAGATGTGATAAGTTCCCCGTAGCCCTCTTGGTGAGCAAAAGCATATCCAGATCTTCTTGAGCTTGATCGACGAGTCTGAGGCCTTCGGCTACGCAGAGGCCGTGCCTTCTTTTGAGCCTTCTGTCGCTGTCGGATCTGGAGAGGAAGGAGATCCAGAGTGAGGTGGTGCATCCAAATAGCACACTCTAGGCAGTGGGTCACTCTGTGAAGTGAAAGCCTTCTCAGTAAAAACAACATCAACATTAACAAAATACTCACCTTAATCGCAAAACAGAATTTTTCAGCTAAAAACTAAGAACTTTTCTAACTAATGGATTACCCTGGGCACTGGTCAGTTTTTATTTCTACCAAAAGACTAATAAGTAAGCAAGAAGTATTAAGGCAAATTTTATTATTGTCTCTATTTCATATATCCATCTTAAATGAATAGGAACATACTTTAAGATTTTCTAGCATGCACCACCCAAACATGGTCAGTATAACAATTTACAGTCCTCTTTCTCCTCAAAACAGGCCTTTTCTTCTTTTGGAGATTCTCAGAATCCAATAGTCATTAGGAACTAGACAAGGACAAAATTTTAAAATGAGAATCAGAAATTTTCAACTCTTGTGGTATAGGTCAAGGTATCATGAGATTTTCAGGGTTTTAATTTCTTTGGAGGTGGGGGTTGGTCACCTTTTGAAGAGGCCAACATCATTTGGGTGGGTTTCCAATATTTCTTTCATTTCCCTCTAAAGTTGAGGAGAAAAGATCCAAGGTTTAGAACAAGGTTTGCAAGCCACCTTGTTCTCTGATTCAGCTGATTGTTTGGACTCCGATTTTTGTGTCAGTAAAAAACTGTTAAGCAGAAAGTCACAATCTGACTAAATATAGCAAGAAATGATCATCATCTTTCTTCCTTCAACTCATCCATCATTTTCTTGGTTTACATAAGAGTGAGCTTTCACAGGCAAAGGGAAAGGACAGACATTAGAGGGGACTCTAGGAATCATTTCAGAAGGAATATTTTTATAGTTTGGCCCCAGAATGAGAGGGACAGCATGACAAGGAACGTTCCATTTCAGTTCTTCTGAGCATCGTTGGTCTGGTTGTTCATCCCATTAGTGTCTTTACCCTTCTCTTGATATGGCTACAAATGTATCTCTCCTTCTTTCTCCTTTTCTCTTTTTACCTGAGTCCAGACCTAACTTGGCATTGTCCTGCTTATTCTCCTCTTCTCAGGAAACACTGAAATATGTTATGGTAATCCCTTGGTTTCTGCATTCCTATAATCCATTCTATTTTCCAATCCATCCATTATGCTGCTATTCCCCTTCTTAATCTGTTCAGAAGGTAAAATATCCTCCATGTTTCTGAATCTGTACTACATTTATACAAATATTTAGAGCTCCTTCTACCTTGATTGTCTCTTTTTTACTGTACCCTTTATTTGCCCCCAAGACAATAACTTTCCCCATTGCTTGTCTTTCCCTTGGAACAATTGTCCAAAATGCTTCCAGTCAACTTTTTAAAATACCCAACTTCAGTTGTCATTTATGACTCCCCACCCATATTTAGTCTAGACATTTGTCTTTATTGGTCATTACTCATAAGGCTAGTACATTCAGATGTAAGCAGTTGCATCTTCTGTGATGTGACATTGTGTACTTGAGGGTGTTTGCCAATGGGAAGTTCATTGGCCCTTCACTGGGCTTCCAATCAGGCAGAGAAGAACACAATTCCAAGAACCAAGAACCAGCCCTTCAAGGACTCACCAGCAACACAACATACCTGGTCACTCAGGGTCGGGAATAAATCCACCTTCAGAAATCTGAATGCCAGCACAGGCATAACTGAAACCACTGTCGTTAGGAGAATGACAAGCCAGATGCACTTCTGGGTCAAGGAATGTCGTGCATTTCCTATTGTTAAAGGAAAATATACTTTGTGTTTATAAATAGAATTGAATGGTTGAATTAATAGGCTTGTTGACTATACCCATAAGGCCTTTTT